TTACAAGACATCACCCTGAATGTTTAATAGAGAACAAATAGCACATAATATTTTTTGGTCCAAGAAATCTAATTTGGAAGATATCACTCTGAATATTTTATGGAGAACAAATAGCACATAATGTTCTTTGTCCAAGAAATCTTGTCCACAGAATTTTCTGATGGATTAGATGAGAAAGATGGCAGTAAAGCACAGATTGAACATCTGGCTGGGTGGCAGTGCCCTGCACTAGAAGGCAGGAGATTCAAGGAGAAGGACTTAACTGTAATGCAAGGTGATACCTATACCACAGCAATCACCAAACACAGAAAACAATTCATTGTCTTCTGGTTCAGATGTTAACAACCTCAGGTTTAAATCACTAGCCTTGCATCCCCCACTGTGGTCTTCCTTTTTTTTTTAAATTGTGATGAAATATATATAACATATATAATTTTAACCATTTTTAATGTAGAGTTCAGTGCCATTAAATACATTCACATGTGTAACTAATTTATTTTTAATATTTCATTATTCTCAAACTTTCCTCCTCCCCTGCCAATCTCAGGAAAATCTGTGTCTTGAATTTTACTTCTCTTATTTTCTCCCTTGTGTGACAAACCACAGAGAAACAAAAGTTGATATTGAAAGTTTGTCAAAGAGGCATTTAAAACTTTTACTTAGACAACATAAAGGTAATAACTAAATCCTTATGGTTTGCAGCAAATAAATTTATAAGACAAATCATTTTAAGATAGCAGTTATTATAATTCAATTTAGTAGGACATGTAATTTTGAACATTTTATTAGAACAGTAATAATTTGCTGAATTCATAGCGTAGGAAATTTAAGACATTCAAGTTAATGAGGTTTTTTATGAAAAAAAAAAAAAAAAAAACCTAATCATTTTATGAGAAAGTAAGTAGGTGATCAGAACAAGTCTCAATTTCCTTAAATCTCATCAGAAAGTTGCTTGCGTATTTCATCAGGAAAGAAAATTTCTTCTCAGAAAGAGATAATGAACTATATCATATAAAAAGATTCTGTCCTAAACCATATTTGAAAAGTTATATTTTATAGTTATAGGTATATGGTATATGCATTTTATAGCTAACATATGACTATTATGAGAGAAATTCTTGTACTTCTTAGTAAAGTAACAGGTGGAAATTTAAATTATTGATGACATGCTAAGATGGAATTAATTTACATTAAACAATCTACCCATTGTTGATTTTTGTGCTTTGTATATTAATGGTCTCCATCCTTTACTACCTCATCTTTACTGAAAAGGTAATGGCATAAAAGAAAGCTTTCATGAAATATTACTAAAAATTAAATTTCTATAACTTAGTCATGCGTATCAAGGCCCAATAGTTCTGATTTCCACATTACATTAATAAAGTAATTGCATTAGTAAATAATTTGATTAAATTATTGTACTAAGATCTTTATTCACCCCAGGATTTGCCCACAAGAGGGGAGAAATAGTTTCCAATATTATATCTTTACTATTGGCCTCCTTGCTTAAACATGCTCTTTCTTTTGTAGTCCATATTCTATTAATAGTACAGTTATCTTCTTAGTCATCCAAAGCATGTCAATTGGTCACCTGACTTTTCCTGTCCCTCCCTCCCTCCCTCCTAATAATATTTTAATAAGTCATCAGACTCTTCTCTTCCTCCCCAGTCCATTTCCCACAACATTGCAGTAGGATTAACTTTTTATTGTTCCATTGTCATAACTTTTTAATCAATCTTTCTGTTTCCACCCAAGAATAACCTTCTTTTGAGCACACACTTCAAATGGTGCCTTTACAACTGCTTTTTAAGGCAATATGCCGATGCAATGGTAGTTAAGACTAGTGAAAAACACTGGAGGGAGAATTATAAATGCAAGACCAGGAGACACCTAAAGAAACTTTTAGGGAGTGTAACTTATGTAGAATAAAGTCACCCATTCTAAGTATACAATTTGATGAATTCTGGCAATTGTTTATCACGGTGTAGCCACCAACATAATCCACACATAGGACAACTTCCTCTCCATGAAACTTTTCCAGGTGCCCTTTTCCATTCAATCCTTTCTGCCATCCCCACCCCCAGACAGCCTTGGATAAGTTTTGATTTGGGCCTAGTATGAGTACTATGGACATTGGTACATGAGTCCTTGTGTGGAAATCTCTTTCCTTTCTCTCACATAAATACTTAGGAATAAGAATTATGGGCTGGGCTTCCCCAGTGGCACAGCGGTTGAACGCTGGGTTGCGAAGCTGCCCGCAGCCTCTGCAGCGCTGGTTCGATCCCCGGCTGCTCCCCGGCCACAGGAGGAGGGTCCCGCATAGCGCGCAGACCTCTCCTGCTGCCCGCTGCTCCCCTCAGCAGTGTACTTCGGTCCCTCTGCCTGCTCTGCTCCCCACTCTGACTCTGGTGAATTCTCTCGCCCTCCAGTGCTTCTGACTGTACCCAGTGCTTGTATAAATAAAATAAATAAATCTTTAAAAAAAAAAAGAATTATGGGCTGTCTCATGAATGGGGCCCTACATTTATCCCAGCCATTGGTGGAAGCATAGTCATCTGGCGGAAATTCAGAGACCTGGGTCAGTCAGTACCAAAAGCTGGAGACAAACTCAAATTCTCAGTATCTTCATCATTTTAAGAGCTGTAAGCCAAAAGTCCTGTAGGCCAATAGACCTAAGCCCATGGGATCCAGTAGAGACTACTACCCCAAAGGGAAGCCCACAACCCAGCCTCTCACAAAAAGAAATCTTCCATAAAAAATAATTCCTTTGAAAGATGAGCTCATAGATAAGTAATGCAAAAGATATAAGAATGTACAGTTCTATAAATTAGCCTGAAAATTGAAACCTTGAAAGATCCAATAGAGCAATCTGAAAGGTACTTTAGAAATAAATGTGCTTTTAATAAATTGCATTAATTAATTATGTTTAATTAATTAAATGATTAACACAGATATAACAGTAACTGTGCTTTTCTTTTCTGAATTTCCTTGTACATGACTCTTCCCATCAGTCAGCACCCTTATTACCTTGAATGCCTGTAATATCACAGTTGGAACTCAAACACAAAAGCATTATTTGCTTTGGACAGTCTTTACTTCTAAAACAAATGATTGAGTCTCAAGAATGAATACCTAAAGAATAACAGGGCACAACTCTAGAAAGAGAACTGAAGAGATGCTATTTACCTCATATCTGAGCACTGGGGTGAAGACAAGGAGAACCCGGACTATTTGGTGAACAGAGGAATAGAAATGGGCAGAGCTTTCGAAAAAAGTTGGAGGTTTCGGTATGAAAAGACTGACTTGGAAAGGTCTCAGGAAGATGTTAAGGATTATCTGTGGCCAAAGCTGAGCCAATGTCTTGAGACAACTTGCCTCTTGCATCAACACCACATCACCCACATTTGCTATTCTTCTCAATATGTGAGTGAAGGCAATCCACAGAGAGCTACCTGAATAGCATACCTTCAGTTATCCAGTAAAACACTTCCAAGAAATTGTAAAACACTTCCAAGAAATTGTTGAGCCCCTGCCAAACATTATAAGGAATGACGCACCTTTCCATGCAATGACATGAACCAATCTCCAAAATAGACTGTTAGAGGTAAAGCAAACAGATATAATACTTTATGTAGTAAGGTTCTATTTGTGTAAGTGGCAAGTATATACACGCATATGTATGTGCAGTTAATTATTTATATATATGTATGTGTAAAAATACCTCTGATGAATACAAGAACTGATGACAGTTGTCTCTGAAGTGTAGAAGAGTGGCTGAGGAATAGAGAAGTTGGAAATTTCCTTATACTGTAAACTTTTGTTCCCTTTTATTTTTATCATGTGTATGTGTTACGTAATCCAAAAATTGAATAAAATAATACAAATGAATATTTACAAAAAAATAAGTTGCCTGCAGAAGCCCTTCATAGATATACAAAAGGAAAAGAATACGTATTATTTATAAGGATGAAAGAAACAGGAATAGCAAAAATCTTCATCCTTAGGGGAATGAGTATATAAGTTATGGAAAAGCATAGAGTTAGAGAGGATAGATGATGATGATGATGATTAAGGAGGAAGAGGAGGAGGAGAGAGATAAGTAGGTAGGTAGGTAGTGAGATAGATAGATAGATAGATAGATAGATAGATAGATAGATAGATAGATAGATAGATAGATAGATAGATCATAGAACAGCAGTTAAAGGAAGTAAATTAAGTTGATCTGTGTATCAACAAGAAATGGCTCAAAAACACGTTGAAAATGAAAAGAGCGTAGTATAGAATATATGTTTAGCATGCAATTTAAGCACACTTTTAACAACACACTAATATGTAAACATGAATTAGAAATCACAGTGTGATTTACCTCTGTGGGGGGTAGGAATGGGGAGCCTGTAATATTTAGTTTCCTTAAAAAAACTAAATCTTTTAAAAGATGGCTATCAATACCAATTATGACAGAACAAAGTTTTAATTTTGGGTGACAGAAATATGTGTTTCTTGTTTTATTCTTTGTGTTTTTCTGTATTTCAAACAGTTCTAGAAATTTAAATGAAAGTAAAGAACAAATATCCAGCCAAGGGTCTCCAGACAGATCCTTTTACTTTCTATCTAAAGATCAAGTAAATTCTACACAGTCAGCCTTGGTATTGTTAGTAAGCATTCCATTAAAAAGTAAAAATTTGTGTTAGAGATTTTAAAACAGTGAGAAACTCTGGTTGTGACCTCGGATTTCATACCTCAGATGCAACATGTTAGAAACATTGTCCAAAGAAAAAAAAAGGAAGTTTAACTGATTAAAGTGTGACTCCTTACACACACCCATTCACCCCTCCCTAGCCCCTCATTAATCCAAATTCCTGCTAGCATATTTTGTAGGGGTGGTACGGAGCCTTGACTCAAGACACACTTTTTTACTCTATAGGCGGAGCTTGTGAACAACCACCCTCTTTAAAAACGGAGTCTCCACACCTACCTGATCATTTCTGTTCCAGCATACTGCCCAGCAAAGAAGTAGTTAGCCAAAATGATGCCTGGAGGCTTAAGTGAAGTCAAACCTGCTACTCAAGAAATCCAGGAGATTGCTAATGAGGTACGTTGATACATCCATGAAAAGGTTTGATCCAAAATCTTGTTTTCTAGGTTGGCCCCATGGCAAGGATACAGATAAGTGTGAAAACTGAAATGTTAGGAAGTAGCATTTGTGTTCAGGCTTCCTTACAGCTAAAAGTCTATTCAGTGAAATCTCTAGTAATCCCAACTGTGAGCGTGCTCAGGAGTAAGTCAAGTCGCTTCTCTGAGCCCCAGTTTCCCCATCTCTAAAATTTTTACAAAGGATGAGTCTAGGATTGCTAATTCAGTTTCTGGTGAAATGTTTTTAATCTCACCGAGTGGAGCCAATGTGTAATTAAAGTCTAAGGTTGTTAACAATTCTATGAACTGGACTTCCCTGTACTTCAAAGAATTTTTTAAAATATATTTAATGAAAAACAATATTGTTAAGGTAATCCATTTACAAACTTCCTGCAAATTTGACTAAATCAACAATATTTAGGCTTTTAGTAGTTCTAGAAGGATTAAACTACTAGAGAAGTAGCACAGTTCATGGTTTCTTTCAAAATTGATTATGTTGGAAATAGAACTTAGTCTTTAGCAAGGTGATACATTTTTAAGTGTTGTTTGGTTAGCTACTACCAATGTAACAAGTTTATTGTATTGCATATTTTCTGAGAAGAAAAAATATGGTCTATGAATTACTATTTCAGGTTTGTAATTTTTTGCCTTATTTTGGGGTATCGCTTCTTAATTCTTTCTCTCTTTAACTTGATTCTATGACACTGGCAAACAATATAGCTTCTTGGGATTCTCTGTATCAACACCGGAAACTTCTCTAAGAGAATATATTCTAGAACTCTACCATTCATACATTGAAACTAACTATTTTCAAAATACAAATAACTCAGAATTCTTATTTCATGGAGAAGATAATATTAAGTTTTTAATATCTTCATTTGAATCCCTATATTAGGTCAGTGCTCTCAATCATGAGAACACTGCAATCATGAGAACACTGCATGAATCACCTGGGGATTCTGTTAAAATGCAGATTTTAATTCAGTAGATCTGGGGTGGGCCTGAAAGTCTGTGTTTCTAACCATCTCCCAGATGATACCCATGCTGTCTATGATTTCACTTATCTACAGGACCAGAGATTCATAATGTCCAAGGGACCTGTGGGAGATGTATTTTCTAAAGTCAGAGTACTGCCAAAAAAAAAAAAAAAAAAAAAAAAACCCAAAAAAATTCTCAATTGCATCTATAAAATGAAGATAACACCTATTGCCCTGCTAATCTCAAAACTGTAGGGACTAAGTGAGATCATAAAAATGCCTCTAAAATGAGAAAGAAATATGCACAGGTAGGTGTCACAGATGTTTTTTTCCCCAAATTTTTGCCTAAAATCATCTCTGACCCTGGAAAATCCCCTTGAGACGTTGCAGGGACCAGAGCTGTAAATGGATGGGGAGTAAGAGAGATTTGAAATGTAGCTAATGCTGGAAATTTTAATTATTTTTTAAAGTCTATGTTGGTTAGCAAGAATAATTATCTTTTTTTAAATAGGAAACTGTCAGAAGGCCTTTTGTTGTTAATAATATCCCACTGTGAGTTATTTCTGAAATTACAAAATTAATGTGAAAGTGTGTTTCTTGCTGCTTACCCCAGTCTCCAACCCTGACAGAGAAGTAGAATAAGAAAGATAAGTACTGGGTCTCCCCAGTGGCGCAGCGGTTGAGCGCTGGGTTGAGAGGCTGCCCCACAGCCTCTGCAGCGCCAGTTCAATCCCAGGCCGCTGGGTGAGGGTCCCACATGGCGCGCAGACCTCTCCTGCCGCCCGCTGCTCCCCTCAGCAGTGTACCTCGGTCCTTCTGCCTGCTCTGCTCCCCGCTCTGGCTCTGGTGAATTCTCTCACCCTCCCGCGCTTCTGACTGTACCCAGGGCTTGTATAAATAAATAAATAAATCTTTAATAAAAAAAAAAAAAACAAGCATTTAAAAAAAAATAAGAAAGATAAGTACTAATAGTAGCTACTTCAGTTCCTAAGGACCATGGAGGAGAGGAAAATTCAAGAAAAATAACTGTAGATTCAATAAATTTGACACCAAAATAAAAAAGGAATGTCAGCTAAGGTCAGAAAGAGAAGACATAGATGGACATTCAAAGCTTAATTGAAATAAATCAGATACTTTGCCATTTTAAAAGCCTGCCCTCTAATCAACCTCTCATTGATCTTCAAAACCTCTGGGCCAGGGAGGGAAGGGTTGTGCTTATTTTTCAAATGATGACACTGAGATTCAAGATTTGAACCATCTGCATAAGAAGCTAGTCTGTCTCCAGATTTTTGACCACCTGACTTTTCTACCACACAACAGCAAGAACATGGAAAAGTCTGTGGGTAGAGACTTGGAGTTGAAAGTGTGGTATAAATTTGCCTACTCTGGGCCTCCCTGGTGGCACAAGGGATTAAGCACCGCACTATGAAGTAGTCCACAGCTTTTGCAGCACAAGTTCGATCCCCAGCCAGCCAGGGAGCAACCCATAAGGTGAGACAGACCTCTCCTGCTCACCCGCTGTTCCCCTCAGCAGTGTATTTCAGTCAGTCTGCCTGTTCTGTTCCCCACTCTTGTCTCTGGTGATCCCCTCACCCTCTACATCTCTGGCCTGTGCCCCAGCTCTTGTATGCATAAATAGATAAATCTTTGAAAAAAAAATTGCCTACTCTATGCAAGCAGCCAGCCTCAGATTTAAATCCACATGATAAATAAGTATCAATGAATCAAGGTTAGGTGCATTTCTTGAATATCTCCAGCATTGTGTTAAGTGTCATAGAAGACCCGTAAGGATAGGGCCTTTGCTCTTGAGGAGTTTACAGTCCCTTTAGAGAAGTCAAGATATCTAGAATATACCATACAACAGTCTGCAATTAAGTACTTTTTCATAATCATAAGTTTTGAATCTGCAAGGACTTTAGAGATTGTCACACCTCCTTTCAGGTAAATAATAACTGGCTGATAGCTCAGCTTCTTAGGTATAAAATTACCAATTATGATTTATCTGCCCTCCCTAACAGGAGACAGCCTTAGGGGACAATTCCCAACTAAGTGTGGGACGTAGAGGAACAGTCAGTTTTAGAGACACTTTAACATTAATTATACCATTTATTACCCACAAACAACCCCAACAGGCAGGTATTACTGCCTGTTTATAGGTAGAGGAGATTTAATCCACACCTCCAAGATTACAGAATTCGTTAAGTCCCTTGCAAGGACCAGGCAATGGGTAGGTGTTGGTAATCACATCCCCAGGATGATTGGAGAGGGTCCGAGGAATGGCCTCCACTGCCTGTCATTTACTCTATGATATTTTTTTTAATGTATTAAAAATTCTTTCTTTTTTTAAAAAAATTAGAGCTTAAGTGTTTTTGGAGGAGCTGAAATGTATCAGTTTTCTCTGTCCTTTTCAGAGAGGTTCTTAGTGGAATGCCAACTGAAGGAAGAATTCAGTTAAGGAAGGAAGGGAAGGTTATCATGTAGAAGAGGAGAAAATATCAAGATAAATAGCTGCAGGTACAAGAAATTTGACATCAAAATAAAAAATGAATGTCAGAAAGAGAAGATATTAAAGATGAACATTAAAAGCTTTATACTAATTGAAATAAATCAGAGGAAGACAAATGCTATATTAGCTCACTCATACGTAAAATCTAATTTTAAAAAACTCAGAAAAGAGATCAGACTTGAAGACACCTGATTAAAAGGTAAAAGCTTCCAGCTATACAATAAATAAATACTATGGATGGAACACAGCATCATAACTAAAGCTAACACTGCTGCCTGGTATTTAGAAAAGTACTTAAGAGAATAGACCCAGGGCCTCCCTGGTGGCACAAGGGGTTAAGTCTCAGCACTATGAAGCTATCCCCAGCCACTGCAGCAGGAGTTCGTTCCCCAGAGAGAGAGGGGACCCAAATGGCGCAGCAGACCTCTCCTGTCTCTCCCGCTGCACCCCTCAGCAGTTTATTTCAGTTGATCTGCCTGTTTTGTTCCCCACTCTGTCTCTGGTGAATCCTCTCACCTCCTGCACCTCTAGCCTATACCCCAGTTCTTGTATGCATAAATAAATAAATCTTTAAAAGAAAGAGAGAGAGAGAGAGTAGATCCAAAAAGTTCTTGTCAAAAAGAATATTTTTTTTTGCCCTTTCTTTTTATTGCATCTATATGAGATCATGGATGAAGACGTATCTATATGAGATAATTAACTTACTGTGGTAATCCTATTACAGCACATGTAAGTCAAGCCCTTGTGCTGTGTACCCAAACTTCAACAGTGATATATGTCATTATCTCAATAAAACTGGGAAAAAGGAGATGGGGAAAAAATTACGATGTAGATCCTTCTAACAAAACCATCAAATGTAGTTTTAACTAAAGTGAAAAATATATAAATATTAACAGAAGAAAGACAAAGGGCTTGGATTTAAGACTTGAACCTTTTTTAAGTCAGAAGAGAAAAATCTCTCCATTTGGAAGAAAGCCAGACAGAACAGTGTTTGTGGTGTCACATAACACAGGGTGAAATGACACTGACGTCCAGAGTACCAGGAAGAAACCCCCTCTTCTAAGATTCTTTCTATCAGTTGAGATTCATTGCAATATTCCTTTTCTACCTTCTTATCTGTTTTGGGGAACCAATCCTGGTCTCTTCATTCAGAAAATATTATGTGCACAGTACTGTGAATTGCTGAATATTATGTGCACAGTACTGTGAATTGTTTTGGGGGAGAAGGTCATAAAAAATAGTCCTTGCCCCCCCAAGGAAATTAACAGAACAGATTGGATATAAGAGATACACGCAGGGAAGTAAGGAGCCATACGTGATCCCAAAAAGCCATAATATATGTAAATGAAGACCAATGGCTATCTACTAGCAAAAGCCTCGCAATTATTACTGCTGATCCATTATCTTATATGTAAAAAAAAAATTGAATGAGAATTCTTAGTATGTTTATGTGTATCAAAGAAATGCTATTGCAATAATTATTTTCAGAAACAAGTGCTATTATTACACATGCACAAGTACAGCCACACATACACCTATGCAACGTCCCTAAGTCATGAACCTGATTGCTGAATACCATTCCTGTCATACCCACAGATCATGACTTTGGTCTCCCAGGACACCACATAAACGCCCCATCTGCATACCATCCTGGGCACACCCTGGAGCTCAGCATGTCATGGTTCTCACTCACTCACAAATTTGTTGTTCTCCTCACCGCAGCCTTCTCATCACTCACCTCTCCCACTCCCACAGCCAGAGAACCTGCCATTCAACATCAGAATCCTCCAAGCACTCACCCTCCCATCTTCATGGGAACAAGTCTGGGCCCACTCAATCCCTCTCACAGCCTGGACCCCAGGAAGGTGGTTTCACACTCTCCTCCACCCCAGAAAGCCATGACCCCATGAGCTTTTGGCAATACAATCCTCAATTAAAGGTCACTCCCACCACTGCCATTTCCTGCTCAGCTTCTGCCCTGTGTTCGCAGAACTGAGCCCAAGGAAGGTGCAGAACCACAGAGAGCTCCCCCATCACAAGTCTATGGATTCACACATGCCATAGAACAATCCCAGCAGGGCCCTGGGAATGCTGAGCTCCCTTTCAGCTGCCCTGCAGCCTCCCTCTAGAACCTCCACAGAGGTGGCTCTAGAAGTCTCTTCTCCTGTTTCCTGCTCCTTCCATCCCATGGTCCCTCCAGCAGGTGTCTCCAGGCCTTCTCTTAGCAGACTGAGTTCCCCTCGGTGAGAATACCCCGATTTACTTCTCCCCTCCTGGAGTTCATTCCTCCCTCCAGCCTGACTCTGTGTTTTTTTCAGCCAACCCTTCCTCTCATGCTGGGTGGCATTATTCATTGCATACCAGGCACCATGGCCCAGACTTCTCCCTTCCCTCAAAACATTGTTAGATGGTAAATGTCAACTAGTCAACTCTCATCAGCCCTACTGTATTTTCAAGCTATTGCCCAAACCCACCTTCATCACTCTGTAAAACTTCTCCAAATATGGTCTATCCATGTTGCCACCAGCTTCTCAATCCATTTTTTCCTAAATCAGGCACAGCCCAAGTGTTTGCATAGAATGATTATAGGTAGAAGTGCCTGGGTGTTGGGAGCAGCATGAAGTCACAGGTCCCAGAGAAGTGACTCCACCAAGATGATTTGTGTCTGTGGCAATGACAAAACCTCAGTCTTGGATTTTACCAGCAGCTCCTCCTTGGTAGCATCTTTCCACTGGCTGCGGCCCAAGCAGCAACTCCACACTGTTCCTTCAGCACCTCTGCTGCCACCACGCATGGCAGACTGAGGAAGGTGAACACCACCTGTGCCAGCTGACGTCTGTCTGTTTACTACCAGCCAGACCACCACTCCCAGCCACCTTCGCCCTCCTAGCATCCATCCTGGGGTGGTTTTCAGCACCAGGCTGCCTTCTGACCACCTCCTTTCTACTCTGTCCCTTTTCCTGCTCTTCAGCTTAGATCTTACACCCTAGGGTCATGGCATCTATACAGCAGCAGAACAATACAAATCTGTCTTACTGGAAAGCAGGAGTAAGGCTATAGGTAAGAAGTACAGTGAGCCTGAGACCAGGACACACCATCTGACAAGGGCCGGTGCATGTCTGCAAACAAAGTAAGTCATTGGAAATCAACTCTGTCCCAGAAAATTCTGGACTTGTGGACAGCACAGCTACAACAGAAAGGTTATAGACTTGGATCTATTTTCAGGACAGAGAGAAATAAGAACTTCTGATACGTGCTTAAAAGAAAACATGACCAAAAGACAGGAAATCTGAAAAATAACAGATAAATCAGATGCTTAAGTTGTCAGGCAAGAGATTTTAAACTTTAAATAACTAGATCAGCTTTAATTTGTCATCTTCTCATAACCTCAAGATCCTGATTTGTCAAATGAGGTTTATATTGATAATTTGGGTTTAGTGTTGACTCAACCCTCTTCAACTCAGCTCCTACTTAGACTAATAAGTCAATGTTGGCATGAAAGGGTTAGACCAGGGGGCGCAAAAAGACAGCAACCCCTTTCCTGATTCAGCCTCTCTCTGCAGCCTTATCCACTTTTCTCCTCTCTCCTGTACCTGCCTCTTCCTCTCTCTTTCTTTCTTTTTTTCCTCACTATTTGTCTTCTCCCTGTCTCCACTTTGGAGCGTCGTTTTCCATCTCAAGGAAGCAATCACATGCTTCCCATTATTCTGAGTCTAGAAGAGAAATGGTTGGTAGTTCAGGAATGGCAAGTTAAGTGTTTGCCACTCACTGGTGAGAACTGAAAGAATCTGCCAATATCTATATCTTTGAAAACAGTTCTGGTCCCCAAGCTGAGGCACCAATAGCAAAGGATTCAAAATACCTGCCTACTGATGCGAAAGGATGGGGTGGCCTCGGAAGAACCCTCGATGCGCTGGAAGATCCGGCCAGGGACATTGTAAGCACAGCAAGTGCTTGAGCAAAGGGCAGGGAGACAACTTCCCAATAAGCAAAGTTGATTTAAAAAAAAACCCACACACTAATTTCCTTTTGCATGATAGGAAAGGATTGGGAGGAAAGGGCACCAATCTATAAATATAAAGACAACAGGAGAGTGGCAAATACCACCTCAGAGATATAACCAGATGTTGCAAGATGGAAAACAGGTGAACAATGGAAGGTGACTAAACATCTGGAGAGTGCCTCAACTCCAGGGGGAACGTCTGGGTCAGAGCAGGCAGGTTCATGCTCAGAACTCCGAGATTGTTCCAGCACTAGCCACACCAGAGCTCACCAAATTGAGAGTGAGGATGGGGCTAGAAGCAGGGGTTCGTGGGAGATCCGTGTGAGGAGTAGTTTGACTTCCCCGCATCCTTTTCTCTCAACTTCACCACCCTGGAAGGCAAAGTACTGTGTACCCTCATCTCTGCAGAAGACTGGAGCTGTGTTCTTTGCAGAAATTCAGTCCACTCTTGCTGAGTGGACGCAGGCAGATCAGGCCCAGAAGAGTGCAGCAAAGAGGGACTTAGAGGGGATGCTAGTGGATTAAGTAGAAATTGACATATTGAATTTGACTTTCCTTTCTCACACTTGGTTCAGCAATGATGGCATCTGAGCTTGTATCCCTCTGAGGTAAACAGCCTGAGGGCCCTCCAAAGATGGTCATATCTTACTCCCTGAATGTCCTAAATATATGTTACCTCATCTCTTCTGATAATGAGATAATTGCGCCTTGGGGAGGTAGAGTAACAAAAGTCACACATGTAAAAGGGACTTGCAGCTGCAATCAAATGAAATCCTGAGAGAGACTATCCTATTTTTACAACTTGTAGTTTGAAATAATTTCAAAATAAATGATTTTGAAATGAAGTGGTACTTATGATTCTCTGCCCCCCCCCTTTATTGTTTAATGAATCAGACATAGTAGAACTTTACTAGTCAGTGTTAACTTGTTGGCATATTACTCTATTTTCTAGGTGGCTCTGTGGCACAGTGGATATTATTATATGATCACATCAACTTGATGTAAATTCAACTTAGGCTGAATTAGAAACAAAATTGGACATTTTAGTTAACCCATTCAATCTTATTAAAGATAGGTCTTTTCCTTTCTTTGAAATGCTGAAAATAGCTAATAGAGCTCATTATCATGGAGAACTTTCAAGAATGTGATTTTCTGGATATATAAGTCACATAAATGGATTCCAACATAGCTCAGATAATTTTTCATCTCTTTTCTTAAGGTTAAACCACAGCTTGAGGAACAAACAAATGAGGCTTATGAAGAATTTGAAGCTGTAGAATACAAAACCCAAGTGGTCGCTGGAATATTTTACTACATCAAGGTTAGTGTTCAAGATGTACTTTGGCACTAAAAGATATTCTACTTGTCTCTGTGTGATGGTTTCTTGTCACCTCTCCCATGTAGTTTCTTCTTCTTACCTTCAATCAAGATGTCTACCTAGCATGATACTGCCCAAGAGACAGACTTTCTGATTGGCAGATGATGGTATTTTTATACCATCTTTTTCTTGTGAATTTAGAAAGTTTTCCCATGTTGATTCTTTTTTTTTTTTTTTTAAGATTTATTTATTTATACAAGAACCAGGGTACAGGCCAGATGTGCGGAAGGGTGAGAGGATTCACCAGAGACAGAGCAGGGAACAGAACAGAGAGACTGAAGAAATACATTGCTGAGGGGAGCAGCGGGCAAGACAGGAGAGGTCTGCTGCGCCATGTGGGTTTCTCCCCAGCCGGCCGGGATTGTACCCACGTTGTAGAGGCTGTGGACAGCTTCACAGTGCAGCGCTCATCCGCCTGCACCACCAGGAAGTCCCTCCTATATTGATTCTTAATTTCCAGAAATTACAAAGAAAAAATACCATAATAGTTAAGAACATGTTTAGCTTGGCTGCTTCATAAAATAGAAGAAAATATCTCAATTGGCAAAAGGCCTGGGCTGACTAGAAGCTTATTTAGTCTCAAAGATTTGTGATTCTGTGTCTAGATTAAAGGAACAACACGAATCACTAAACCTTCTTTTAAACATGCGTTTGATTAATATAATTTAATATTTTCACAACTCAAATAAGTAGTTTCAACTTGTGACTCTATAAATTTGGTTTAAAGCAATGGAACACTTAAAGTATTTTTTAAATTAATTGTACCTGTATCAAAAATTAATTGAAGAAACTATGTGTGAAGAAATTGAGAAGAAACCAATCTAGTAAGTCAGCCTTGGATATTTTGGAGTCATTTCTACCCTTTTATATTGAGAAGATGATTGTTCTGATTTAATACATAATAACAAGAGACATGTTAATGTATTTACTTAATTTTTACTAAACCATTTGACCAGAATACAGTCTGATTTATTTCTCTCACAAACAATAACTACGTAAGATATAATTTTTCTAATGTTTTCAGCAAAGAAAAAAAAAAGATAGTAAAAAACCAGCCAGCTCAGTATGAGAAAATCTCCTAGTGGGTTATGTAAATGGGTCATCCCAGTCCTACCAAATCTGAGCTCCTGTTATACACCAAGTCCTGCACATGAATGAAATACTGCCTTCAAAGCCTTCCTCACTTACCTATCAGGGGGTAAGTGGCAAAATGGAAGCCTTGCAGGCTTTGGTGTCAGGCAGTCTCCAGTTTGAGTCCCCGTTGGACTTGTTCTACTTGTCAAAACCTGTGTGATGCAGTTTCTTGTCTTCTCTGAAGATAATTCTCTTATCAGCATGATGTGGATAATGATAACCTACTTCTAGGGTGTTGTGTTGAATAAAGTAATTTACTGAGCACTTACAATGTGCTGGACACTGTTCTAAGAGCTGGCCACGTATTACCTTATTTAATCCTCTCACTGAATGTGTGAGAAAAGTATGATCATTTCCCTTGTGTTCCTAAAAAGATAACTGAAACTTGGGGAGGTAGGGTAGCTAAAAAAAGTCACACAGCTCAGAGAGCAGAGCCAGGACTTGAACCCAAGGAGACTTGTGCTTAGCAATTAGCTGTGACATCTTAAAAATGTAAGCGAAGACTGATGCCCTTTGCATCAAAGCACAGAATATATGCTTTTAAAGGGTTACACTGCAGAGTGTAAGAAACATAGATGTTGGAGTCTGGATTTGAATTTTGGCTCTGACATTTATTAACTGAGAGATTTATGGTAAGTACTTATCTCTGAATATGCTGCTGAACCTATAAAAGTGACATTGTTCCACCTTTCTTCAGGCTGTAAGAAATAAATATAATCGCATACACCAGGTGCTCATCGCAGTGTCTGACTCACAGCAAACATTTGATAAACGTCATTTGTTAAAATCAGTTTTTACTACTGTGACGTTTTTATAGGTCTGCAGATCCTTCATTTGATGTAGAGCCATGGGAATGACTTTCCTCTTTGTTTAATTTCCAGGTGCGAGTAGGTGATAATCGTTACATTCACCTGAAGGTCTTCAGCGGTCTTCAGCGAGAAAAGGGTGTGTCACTTTCTGGTTATCAGACTGACAAAAGCAAGGATGATGAGCTGACAGGCTTTTAAGGTCATGTTCCACAGTGGGTAGTTTGAGTCCTTCCACTGGCTCCGTGTTCACGACCCCAGCTAATAACTGTAATGAATAAATTGATTTCATCAACTATTTGTGGTCTTTTGTATTAAAGAGTAATTGCCTTTTATTTCTCAAAGCCAATATTATTATTATTTTTTTTTTTTATAGAGGCATGTTTTATTTATTTATTTATTTGTTTGTTCATTTGTTTTTGTTTATACATGCACTGGGTACAGTCAGAAGCGCGGGAGGGTGAGAGAATTCACCAGAGCCAGAGCGGGGAGCAGAGCAGGCAGAAGGACCGAAGTACACTGCTGAGGGGAGCAGCGGGTGGCAGGAGAGGTCTGCGCACCATGTGGGACCCTCCTCCGGTGGCCGGGGAGCAGCCGGGAATCGAACCGGCGCCGCAGAGGCCGCGGGCAGCTTCGCAACCCAGCGCTCTACCGCTGTGCCACCGGGGAGGCCCTCAAAGCCAATATTATTGCTTTAAAGTAGAAACTCCATACAAACTAATGTCAATTGGAAATCTAATAAAAATTGGGCACACTATAACTGGCTAATATAAGATAAGCCACTGCCACAGGCCAGATCATGAGCAACCGGTGCCCTGTGGTTGCTGAGAATCCAACATTCCATTTACACTCTCTTCTTATTTGAAAAATTAAATCAGTTATCTTACAAAATATATTTGTATTTTGAAACAATATCAAATTTACAGATAAGTTTCAAAAGTTTCAAAGTATTTTCCCTGGACATTTGAGAGTAACTTACCTATAAAGATGCCCCATCACCAAAATACTTTAGTGTCTTGTTGCATCAGGCAACACCACGCTGATAAGGAAACGGGAGTCGTGGAGCAGGCTACATAATACAGGATGCTGCCGAAGAGCAGATCCTGGCCTTTCTTATTGATAGAAGAATTATACAGCATCAATTGAGAGGAAAGAGGACAAAGAGAAAAGAGAGGTTGTAACTAGAAAAAGTGCTCTGTCATCTATAGTATCAGGGGTTGTGAGTCGGCTCTCCAGGCACTTCTAATCTGCTTGATGACTTGGTATTGTAATTAGGATCAAGCTCTAGTTCCCAGCCTTGGTTTCATTCTTATCAACAAGGTTTTCCACTGATCAGCTTCTGGGGTCCCTTGCTATTCATCGGTCCTCGGCCCCCAGGGCGTTCCCGGCCATACCTCGTGGTGCATAGCCTTCCCAGCTTTGTGCTCTTGATTGATTTGAAAGGCACCTTGCAGGGTTGGGCTCCTGTACCTAACTGACTAGGCGGTTCTGATCTTGCTTAGGATTTAGAACTGTAGGTAACAAAATGGTGGCCGAACAGGCCGCTTAGGGTTAGCGGACCTGGAGTGTCTGTTGCCGACAAGTATATTCTCCTGAATAAATGAAATACAACCAGGGAAAAAAAAAAAACTGAAACATTTGCTACCACCTAATCCTCAGAAAACATTTAATTTCCCTAATCATCCCCAAAATGTCCTTTATTGCAAAAAGAGCCAGTGCAAAACCATGTATTTCATTTAGTTGCCATTTTTTTCTGTAACAAGTTTGTTGAGATATAATTTACATATACGATTCACCCAATTAAAGTATGTAATTCAGTGGTTTTTAGTATATTCAAAATGTTTGCAACCATCCAGTTTTAAAACATTTTCCCTTTCCCTCTAAAAAAAAAATCCCACACCCTGTAGCTGTCAAAAGACTGAGAGAATATACACTTTTGCCCTGCAAAGTTGAGGGACTCAACCCCAGCTGTCTGTCAGGCACTCCCAGAATTTGCTGCCAGACTATATTTTTGTTTATTTACCTTTCCAGTTTTTTTGTGAAATAATTAGCATACATCACTTTATAAATTTAAGGTACCCACTTGAAGGTTTGATTACCATATATTGTGAAATGATCACCATAGGTTCAACTAACAGCCATCATCTCACACAAAATTTTAAAAAGAAAATAAAATTTTCCCCATATATGGGCACCCTAAGGATTTTCTCTCTTAACCAATTTCTGATATATCATACCATTTGAAGACATAGTCGTGATGTCTTCAAGTATTTCTCTTATAATTTTTACCACCTTCCTTCAATTCCTCCTTACCTCTGCCTCTTTTTTTTTTTTTAAAGATTTATTTATTTATTTATACAAGCACTGGGTAGTCAGAAGCATGGGAGGATGAGAGAATTCACCAGAGCCAGAGCGGGGAACAGAACAGGCAGACTGATGAAGAAATACACTGCTGAGGGTGTTACAGGGCAGAGAGAGGGGCAGCCCAAACCCCGCGAACCTGCCTATTCTAAATGGGTTCTGCCACCCGCCGCATCAACACAAATCATATGAGACTTGAATGGGAAGGAACTTTAATACAACTAGGAAACAAGACAGGAAAGGCAAAGAATCTAGTTTCTAAATGAAGCACCCAAAGTTACCCGTCCCCTCGTGGGTAAAAGTCCATCCAAATGGGACTGGCCCAGAGCAAGGCCCCAAAGCCTGCCACAAGTCTAAAGCATCTTCCAGTGGGGACCCACAGAAAAGGGTCAGAAACAACCAGACAAGCCCGGAAGGAAAAGAGCAAAATCAAAATCAAGATAAAAGCTGCCATGGCCCCTCCCCACGGGTCTCACCCACATCTGTGTCACCCAGTCCACGACCAAAAGGCAAGTGCAGTTTCTTCACGTGTCCCTAGGCTCCATGTGCCTCCTCCAGGTCTCCTTCTGGCTCCATCCTGCTTCCTTCTTTCCTCATTCTCCTCTTCAGCTTCTTCTCTATCTGCTCAGCTCCACCCTCCTTTGGGTGGGGCAGGAAACCTGGAACCTCCCCCTTTCCTGGGAACCACCCTGTTACAAGGGGAGCAGCCTGCGCGGCAGGAGAGGGCTGTCACGCCATGTAGGACCCTCGCCGAGGGCCAGGGATCCAACCGGTGCTGCAGAGGCTGTGGGCAGCTTCGCAGCTCGCTGCTCAGCGCTCAACCTCTGTGCCACCAGGGGAGGCCCACCTCTGCCTCTTATAATGGCAAGTCTGATCTCTTTGCTTTTGTTTTTGGGATCATTTCTTTTTTAGATTTCACATGCAAGTGAGATCATAAATCATTGTATGTCTGACTTATTTCACTTATTTATGCTTATTTCACCTAGCATAAAGCCCTCAAATTCCATCCAAGTTGTCACAAATAGTAGTTTCCTCCATTTTAATGTGCACGTATGCTGTCACTTTATCTATTTATCCATTAATAAGAACTTAAATTATTTGCAAGGTGTTCTGCAACCATCCCAGGCCAGGTAGGTGCATCGTCAGTTCAGGCAGCTTGAAAGAGAACCTTGGAGCCCTTGGCATCATCCCCACAGGTTAGGGGGACAAGCCAGCTGGGAGACAGCAATTTGGGACCTCTGGGAACCTCTATATACTTTTTCCTCTTGTAGCCATTCTCCCACGCACTTCACCCCTTTCCACCGCACTCTGTCAAACAGCCCTCTGCCGCACCCCCCCTTAAATGCTCAGAATCTTCGCTCAGCTGTGCGCACCTATCTCCCTACACTACGCTTAAGATCTTTGGAACAGATAGCTTTACCTATTTGGTTTAGTAATGTATTTGTAGTGGCTAATAGATCCTAGAATGTGAACAGCAATCAATTATTAGAAGAATTTGCAAAAGGATTATTATTGACATTTGTGAGACAATCTTCTGTACTGCTGAGGAAGGGTCAAAGTAATCTCTGCGCTTTTACACATTCTCTTTCCTCCCTTATCAACATCTTGCTGACCCTTCAAACACCAAAATCAACTGTTGTAAAGCAGCAATAACATGGAAGACTGTTTCAGCAGGCAAATCAACTCTCAAGAGCAACACACAATCTGTTTCTTCATATTTGAGGCTTTAAATACCATTCATCACAAATATTCAGTCACTTCACTGTGCCATAACTGCACATTTTTAATGTTATATTGGAATGAAAAGACATTCTACAAACATAATTGGATTAGTTAGGCAATATTTTTAGCAGAACTGAAGTGCTATAAAGGCTATTAGGAGTCCTTTCTAAGGATTGTTTTTGAATTCTCTACTGAGCATCCAGATCTTTGCTAAGTCCTGTTTTATTTTGTCATGTACCCTTTCAATTCACTCCTCCATCCAATTATTATTCAACTTTCTGCCAGTTAATATTGGTATCTAAGTCCTATAGAAAATTTATTTCACTGCTGGTTTTAAGTTTCTTCTTGATGAGACTAGATTACAATCTCCACAAAAGGTTTTGTTTCCAGTAACTGGAATAGTATGACTCCCAGTTAGGTGCTCAAAAGTTTTGTTTGTACCATTTATTGCTGACATAATCTGAGGAGGGGCATCATACTCACAAGGCCAACCCTTAATACAGGTGGTCATTCTTATCAGGTGGCTTCTAAAGGGGGGCAGAATGCTAAAATGGCTAGCCAAGATATCCCACCCTATCACTCAAGACTGAATGAGACACTCCATCAGTGATATTACATTTCTTAGCAAAAGGATCTGAAGATATAATCAACTGTAATCGGCTGATTCTGAGTTAGTCAAAAGGAGTATTATTGTGTTCACCCTAATCTAATTATATAAAACTTTTAAAAGCAGTTCATCTGGGCCTCCCCGGTGGCGCAGCGGTTGAGCGCTGGCTTGCGTAGCTGTGCGTGGCCTCTGCAGCACCGGTTCGATCCCCGGCTGCTCCCCGGCCACCAGAGGAGGGTCCCACATGGCGCGCAGACCTCTCCTGCCGCCCGCTGCTCCCCTCAGCAGTGTACTTAGGTCCTTCTGCCTGCTCTGCTCCCTGCTCTGGCTCTGGTGAATTCTCTCACCCTCCCGCGCTTCTGACTGTATCCAGTGCTTGTATAAATAAATAAATAAATCTAAAAAAAAAAAAAAAAAAAAAAGAACCGCTGTAACATAAGACATGGTTCATGTTTAAAAGCAGTTCATCTGACTTATCACAAAAAAGAAAGTAAGGTTCCAAGAATTGGAAGGATTCCAGACTTCCAGACTGTTGTTAGCTTGAAGAGGGATGGGGGGGGGGCAAGTAAAAAAATATGGGTGGCTTCCAGCAGCAGAGTAGCCCAGAAAAAAATGGGGACTTCAGTCTTACAGCCCCAAGGAATTCTGCCAACAGAATGAGTTTAGAAGAAGATTCCTCCCAGTCAAGAGACTACTGGACTGACAACTTGATTTCAGCCTGTTGATAGCCTAAGCAGAGAACCCAGTCAAGTTTGCCTGAACATCTGATCTATGGGACTATAATAAAGAGGTATGATTTTAAGCTGCTAAACTGCAGTAATAAATTAAGCGCAACAGTAATCCAATCATGCTTATTAAAATGTGTTTTTTGCAATGATGACATGCTACAATTACAGGAATGACTCATTTGAATATTATGTAAACCATCTTTTTATCTCCTTTTCTGAATTTGTTTTACTGTTACCATTTTCATTGTCCATGGAAATACTGTCCAGGCAATATATTATACTCAAATTCAGTTTATGCAGATGAAAATACAGTACTGAGACAAACTTTCTTTGGACAGTATTTAAGATTTTAAGTATTACTTAAAAGCAATAAACCCACAAAAATATATAAAGGGGTAAAATTGCCAATGGCCAAAAAAGTTCATGTGCATGACAATAAATTATAAAAATCAAAAAAGGCACAATACAAATCAAATCAGATATTGAGATTATATTCAAACTCTTTCAAGACCTATTATCTCAATCTGTAAAACAATCAAATAAATATGTACACTGAGTCAGAAAATTATTTTAATAGTTATAAAACATCTTTTCTTTTTTACAGAATCAGTATAAAATAGCAGTTGATTTCTCCATAATTATCAGAATTATTTATACTTGAGGTCTTGGTTAAGTAGGGCTGAAATCAACCAAATGTCTTGGACTGTTGGCTCAGAAATCATTCTAGGATGTCCACCTTGCCAATGTCTGTCATTCTTTGCTCTTCTAAGATGATTCGGTCCTTTTAAAAACAGTATCCTCTTATTCATTCTTTGGAGGTTTGAAGTGAATTCGGCAGCGTTCATTAAACACCTGAGATGTTTAAACAAACAAAAGTAGTCAAGTCATCCTGTATAAACAGGCCTAGAACTAAATTACATTTGGCATTGATTGGGAGGATACCATTTTCCTCATGGGTCAAACTGACTTATTAGTGCTAAGAGCACAAAGAACACAGAAGGCCTTGATACCCATTTATTAACAATTTCAATATGCTAGTAAAATTTAAATTACTCAAGGAAAAATCATCATAAGCTAGTTCATGAACATATATTCTGGACATTTTTTTGACAATTAGGAAAAAAATCTAAAATAAGTTTAAGACAAAGTTTTTTTGCCCTTTTATAGCATATGTTTTATTTAGGGTAACTGCTGTGCTTTTTAAAATGAGTGCCAGATCCTTCTCACAAGTAGGTATACCGGAAGAGAGGTCAGTTTCTTTGTTAAATTGTGTATATTCTATATATTAAATTTAAATATATTTTTTGTTCTATTAACCTACTTCCTAAAAAAAATAAACAAAATAAATGTCAACAGAATGTTCTATGATCAAGTTCCATCATTACAGAACTCCCCTCAATAAAAATCTGTTTTTTTAACTTTGCCATAGGAGTCAAGTCCCCAAAGACATCTCAGCAGTAGATATCCAGGAGCTTGTGACTTATGTTTCCTTGTATGTATTTTACGGTTTTGGATCTTATATCCAAATCTTTAATCCTGTTTGAGAAAACAGAGCCATCTATTCGCAATGGAATATAATACAAGCATAAAAAATAAGAAGGAAACTAGGTTCTGACTGAAAAGTTCTCCAAGATACAGTAAGAGGAAAAACAAATGTGGACAATACATTTCCATTTGTATAACAAAGGGGAAATCTGTGTGTGTGTGTGTATACATACATACAATCATACAAAAACATAAAATTTAAAAAGATACAAACATCTGAAAGTATATACATCTTTTCAGAGGGAAGGGAAATGAGGTGGCTGAAAGACAAGAGTTAGCATTTTTTACTGTATGGCCTATAATATTAAAAAAAATTAATCATATATTTAGAAATTGAGTGTTCCATTAATAAAGTTACAAATGGGCATCCCTGGTGGCGAAGGGGTTAAGACACCACACTATGAAGCTATCCACAGCCATTGCAGAACCAGGTCGATCCCCAACCAGGGAGGTGACCCACATGGTGTAGCAGACCTCTCTTGTCTTGCCTACTGCTCCCCTTAGCAGTGTGTTTCAGTCAGTCTGCCTGTTCTGTTCCCCACTCTGTATCTAGTGACTCCTCACAACCCCCCGCGCCACTGGCCTGCACCTCAGCTCTGGTATGCATAAATAAATAAATCTTTAAAAAAAAGTTATAAAAAATATCAAAGAATTTCAGAATTTACCCTCAGACTTCAAGATGTAAGTTGCAAATCATTTTTAAATTTTTTACAAGTTAAAAAAAAAAAAAAAAAGTTGGCCTCTGTGGATGATCATAAAAAAAAAAAAAAGAACTACATAGGTAGCTTTTAAGGTTCTGGTATTAAAACTAAAAGAAAACATGTAAAAATGACATAGACTCTTTCTTGCTCGTTCTTCTTTATAGTTCAACTCATGTCAGTTTCCAGCCCTGGAATTTCCTTAAAGCTACCAATGCTCAAAGGAGGCTTCCATTAGTGGCCCTAACACACTCACTGGAATGATATCTTTTTGTGGAGCCTCTCTACATACTTTTCCTAAATGCCTTCCTAACCACTTTTAGTGGCCCGCTGTACCATAGCTACATTTCTTCTTTTAAGGACAAGTTAGGGAGTCTCACTTTCTATAGAATAGATGAACATTTTCTTTAAAACTTTTACTATCAAATCCAAAACTGTTTCCTGGTTTTCCAACTTCTGGACATGGTTTTTCAAACTAGATGTTCATTATAACCCTCCTCCATTCCACCCCAAGAGTAAATATCTCTTCAGAGACCATAATGGACAAATATTGCCAAAATCTTTCAAGTAGCAAACTTCTTATTGGTGGAAAGAGAAGGTATAGGAAATGTTGAAAAAGAGAATAGGATGAAGAAATGTTATAAAGCGAAATACAAAAATTAGTTTGTATTTTGCAATTTATTCATGGCCCGGTGAGTTGGCACATTCTAGTTTTTGGTTCAGTTAACCTCTCTCTGGATTTAATGCCATTCCATCGGTTAATTTCAAAGGAGAAAACAGAATTTTCAGTTCATTCTTTCAAATTTAACAAATTTTGTGCTTTGTAAATCTTTGAACTTTTAGAGGGGTATATAAACTTTTTCAGAAAAAGAGTTTTGTGATTTTTGACTACATGTAAAGTCCTGGGATCCTAGTTCCCCTATTGCTAACCAGAACATTCAAGTGGTAGTAAGAGTCATATGATTCTAGGAGCCATAATAAGTCCTATTATTAGATACCAATAAAGCTATATACAAAAAAAATTTCCATCAGATATTAGAATAAAAGTAAATGTGAAGGGTAGCTAATGATAGGAACATTTGTGAAAAATAACTGAGCTCAGAAAATTTAATTTTAACAATAACCGCATTGAAGAGTCTGAATTAACTAGAGTAAAAACTCTAAATATTAAATTGGTATTAGGAGGCATAAAAAATATCTCCAATTATGATACCATAATCTTACCACATGACTGTGAAATGAAAAAGGCTTAGTTTCATTTATTACTGCAGAAATTCATATCAAAACCACAATGAGAAATCACCTCACATCTGTGAGAATGGCATATATCAAAAAACTGGGGGGACAAAGTGCTGGCAAGAGTGTGGAGAAATAGGAAATCTTGTACAACATTGGTGGGATTGTAAATTAGTGCAGCCGTTATGGAAAATAATATGGAGATTACTCAAAAAAACTAAATATGAGAATATGATTCAATGATACCATTCCTAGGTATTTCTCTAGCATTATTCATAGTTCCAAGACATGGAAACAAACAATTGATAGATGACCAGATAAAGAAGTGTGGCATATACACTCAATGGAATATTATTCAGCTATTAAAAGACAGATAAAATCTTACCCTTTTTTTTTAACAATGCACATGGAACTATGCAAATTAACCAAAATAAGTCAGAAAGTGAAAATTACTAGATGGTTTCTCTCATATGTGGAAATAACCAAAGTGAACAAACTATCAAAACACAATAAAAACAACTCTTAGACCCTAAAAAATACAGTGGATTTCAGAGGGGGAGAAGAGCAGGGACAAGAAAGGGGAGAGGTGGTCAATTTGACAGAGAATGGTAACAGAACTTTGTGATGGGTGAGGGGAGGCATATGCTCATAGGGAGGTGTGGATCTGCACTGCAGAAATTTAAACAGTATTGTAAACCAATGGTAATAAAATTTTATTTTAAAAGTTTTAAGAGCTATAGAGAAAGAAGGGTAAAGCAAACAGGGAAACTAAGCATCCAGGAAATCTAGTTAATGCCACCTGGCATTCTTTGAACTACTCTTGCAATTTTTCTATAAGAAGTTATATCAGAACAAAAAGTTAAAAAATAATAGCATCCAAAAAATGGCTCTATCCAGAGGCTAACCACCACCAGAACCCACCCCCACCACCACTTTATGCCACAGTTAAAACCTTCAGCTGTTTATAAGTGAACTTTTGCTAGTATTCTGGGGCCTCAAGGGACGCCTCCCTAAGTTTCCCCTTGCCATTTCAGTTTTCCTTCTAGTTCTCTCTGAAAATCAACATATTTTATACCTTCCAGCTCCTGTCATTTACCACTTCTTCAACATTCAGTTCTGATTGCATCCATTTCAACTGTAAGGAAAAATAAAAACAAGTTATGAAAACTTTAATGTTAAAAGTTAAAAGCAAACTATTATGTTTTTCCAACAAAACCAGCTGTTTCTCCTGCTTTTCTGTTAATGGAATTACCTCCATTAGAATTTGGAATCTTCTTTTACAGTGTCTTTTTATTTTTTCTAATCAATTGTTAACTCTTACAACACCATGGTTCTCAATCTTTGTTGCATATTATAATCACTTTGAAAGTTTTTAAAGAGCTAAAATGGCCAGGTGGATCACAGAAGAAATATAAATGGCCAATAAACATGTTTAAATGCAAAATCCTACTTACTATAAAGAAATGCAAATAAAGCCATAATGTGACAAAAAATTTTAATAAAGTCTGATAAAATGTAACATTAGTGAGTGCATGGGAAAAGATATACTTATGCACATATTTAGTGGGAACATAATCTGTTGCAACCTCAATAGACAGCAATTTGGTAAAATTTATCAAAAATACAAATTCAGATATTCTAGCATCAATAATTCCAGTTCTAGGAGTTAATCTTACAAAATGGATCTGCAACGACAGCACAGAAGAATAAAAAGGAGAAGTGGCAATCTGACTGAACAGAGAAAAAAAAATCAGGGGAAAAAAAGAGGGTAAAGAAAGTCCAAGCCTCTGGAAAGCATCTTAAGTTCCCTATACCTTACTTAACTGTATAGCCAGCCAGAGGCCTGGAGCTAAAAATGCTGAGGCCTTTCTAACTTTCTTTATAACTATTACCCTAATTACTCCATCAGAAAAGTAGTCAATCCTACTGCCAGACCTAGATGGCAGGATCCATCACACTCGTAGTCACCTGTGATCAGAGAGAAAGGAGAAAAATGCTAGCTAGTTTCTTAAGTACTCAAGAAAATTAAGATAGAAATCATGAACTACAGGCTGAGATAAAACCAGGCCAAAAGTCAAGACCCAGGCAGGAGATTGGAGGACAAATGCCAGAAAGCTAGGCAACCATGAGTCTGGGACTCAGGCCAAAAAATCTCAACAGCGAGGAGTGTAACTCGGGCAGGAGGTTTGAGTAATGTGCATGTAATGTTAAGACTGTAACTTGTTACTGGCCCAAGAGATCCCTGAAAACTCTACTCCTAGACTCAGGTACATGGAATTGACACTGTAGAAAGCTGGAAAGAACTATTTCTGACATTTGGTCACTGTGGAATAGTAACAGCCTAGAGAAGTTTACCCCTTAAATCAAAGCAACTTTGGTCTCAGACTTTAATCACCTACATAGGCCAGAAACTATTAAAGCCTCATTGTTCTGTCAAAACCTGCACTTATTGCCAAAGAAATAACATCTTCAAAGAATAGGGTCACAACATGCCACTAAGATAATTCATAACTACTGTCAAATTTAAAAGGATGTCATGTATAAATGGGTTAAGACTTATCCTATACAGTTCCAGAGGGAAGTAGTAATGATATGTTAGAGGGAGGCAGATTTTCACAATATATAAGGAAATCTTTCAACAACTGTATCTGTCCAAAAATGGGAATGCACTGCCAGAGAAGACTGTGAGCTTCCCTCCACCCCTTTAAGTAAACAAACAAAAGGTAACAGTTTATGATTGGGGGACATCTAGAAAAGACTAAGGTAACAAATATGAAGTCCCAGAGAGCAGGAAAAGAAAAAGGCTGTTTTGTATTGACTCTGTAAAAGTCAATATGCTAGCTTTTATATACATTAGTTTAATCCTCACCCTCTCAAAAAAAAACATAAATTATTAAATGTCAAAGCCACTTTACAAACTAAAAAAAGACATGAGCAATAAATCAGATTTATTTCCTTAGAGCTATCTGTCTTGACAATTCATGCTTTTTTCTTTCTTGCAGATATTACAGCCAACTTCTAATACAATTTCAGTGCCACTAACAAAATGCTACCTCTCAGATATTTCCGAGACTTTAGGTCTTCAACAGGTAAATTTCTCCACAAAGGCTGCTAACAGGCATTATCAACTATTTAGTTCCGGCAAGGAATGTGCAGTCTCTGATTTAAGGATTTAGTAAGGACGTAATCAGAATTTGATTAGTCACAACTCAATGTTTTTAAAAACAATGACTGAACCCAGAGTCAAAAGAGATGGGTTAAAGTCCCAGTTCTATCACTCACTAGCTTGTGACATTGGAGGTGTCACTTAGTATCTCTGAATCTCAGTTGCTTCATATGGAAAAAGAAGAGCCAGAGCTGGAACATCTCTGAGAGCCATCTCTTTCTGATTCTCTAATCTTCAACTTATAAGTTTCCTAATTTGTTTAAGTACTCCTATAGTTACCCTCTACTCCTGCACATTAACAGGTAAGAAAGCCTTTCTTAATTCACTGACTGGTTTCTAAAACCTGCCTGCAAATGATTGGTAAACTCTCTCTGGGCCCGAAAAAGAGGGCTGAGCAAACACTCAGTGATTTTTGAACTTTGCTCTCCACTAACAAGAGTTACTGTTTTTTGTTTGGCTTAATTGCAAATAGTGATTTTTCATTTTCTAATTTAACAGCCCTGCTCTGCAGTTTCCTTTATCAGTGACTTCAAGAATCTATTAAAATCCACCATCCAAAAGTGACTAGATTTTAAGCAATTTTATATAAATTATCCAAAGGCTTTTATAAATGTCAAGGGTAGGGTAAGATAACCAGTACAGCCTATGTTCACCTTCTGCAGAACCTACTACTCCCTGATAAACGAACAGGTAGGGGATATAGGGCTGACAGCAGTAACGAACAAAGAGCAGAAACACAGTGGGAGAATACTATATTCACTGGGAAATACTGAACCAACAGTGGCAGAAAACACATACTCACCTGTGTGCAGCTACAAGGACAAAGGCTTGAGACAGGTTCCCTTTTTAGAGGCTGGTCACATCTACTAATTAATGGGCAAACTTTGTATCCCACATTGTATTTTCAATAACCTACTGGGCCATCTTAAAGTACAGACATGATTTTGATCATTGCACAGTAATCATGGAAGGAAAAACCCTTGTTCTAGGAAATACCAATGTGTGTGGGGGAGTGAAGAATATAGTTGCCTAAGATATGCTCAAAATGGTTCTGGGGGAAAAATGTGTACATGGAGGAGCAGGGAAGAGGAAGACAGGGCAAAAGAGGAAGGAGGGAGAAGGAATGGTGGAAAGGATTGCATAGCAGGTGGGACAAAATAAATAATAGGTGACTTGTAGATAAAGGGTGCATGGGAGTTCTTATACTATCCTTGAAAATTTTCTGTAAACTTAAAATTATATCAATCTAGTGGGGGGATGTAGTGGGGGCAAATTATAATGAAGTTCTAGTGTATCTGGTTATATTAAAATAGTACTATATTTTTATGACTGTAAAGGGTTATAGCCTTAAGCTAAATTTCTGTTACATTTCAGTAGATTTCTACAGAATGAAACCAGAAGTAAAACCTTCAAAATACAAATACCATTAAAGCAACGTTTCTTCTCAAGTCAAGCTTCAAAAAGTAGATATAGATGTGATTTCCCTAATTTCCTGATGTGGTATTGTTCTGTGTTAATCCTTTTCTCTTTAATAAAATATATAAAGGAATGAAAAATGATTACATGCTTATTTTTGCTAAAGCTGCTACACAGCACATCATTATTACATTATGACATACACATTAACTTACCAATTAATGTCTAATGTAATAAAATAAAGGTCACTAAAAATGAAGTATTAATATCCTGGTCCTTTTTTTAAAAAATTAATCTACTTTAAACTTTTCATATTAAAAACTGCCTTCACTTTGAAGACTAAGTTAGGAAAAACTTCACCGCAGAAGTAGAGAACTTACCTTTGTCTGTTCTTTTCTAAGTTGCTTTAATAACGTTAAATCATCCAAATTCTTTTCTCTCTCTTCTCGGAGGTGTTTTACTACTGATGAGGTCTGAGCTATACAATTTTTTATAACTCTGTCCCTACTGGCATGAGCCTCCATCAACTAAAAGAAAAAAGGAATGAAAAGAGAAAAATCACATGTTGAGATGTGACACTGTACTCCCTAACTTGTTTTTAAAAAAAGTTTTATTTTTAGATTAGAGGTATTTAGAATTTTCTAAAACAATTTTTAAAAACCTAATCTATGGAAGAGAACATTGTGTAGAATTGGCTAAATCACTTAGAACCAGCCCAAAGGAAGCACCCTGATGGGGGAGGTGTGAACTCTGCCTCTTCTTCCTCGGTCTGCTCCCAATGCTCCTACTCCTCCCACTGCACTCTCAGCACCAGACTTTCCATTGATTGCAGTCTCCTTTTCCCCATACCCATCTTCTCTCCCCATCAATACATCCATGTGTTCTTCCTCTACCTGACACCCACTCTCAAGTACCTTCTGAGCAACTTCCTGTTGGTTTTTCCTCTTATTTCGATCTTTCATACTTTTTAAAGGCCCATGCTGTCATCATGTGCAATGTAACCATGTAGAAGAAATTATAAACTAAGAAATGCAGAGAAGCCTCAGTTACAGTGAAGAAGAACAAAGAATGTTACATTTACCTACGAAAGGCAGAATCCTGGCCAAGATTTTTAAAGTTTAATAATTAACAAGGAAAAACTGCACATGAAACACATATTTTGGTTACATCAAAGAATGGATACCTGACGGAATAATTTTTTACTAACTTTCATGTTAATGTAACAAATCTAATACAACAGCTGTCATCTGCTTTCTGACTTGATTCACAAAGTCTGATAGTCAAGTTTTAAAATACGGTTCCATGAAAATAGCCAAATTTTGGTGACACTCCAAAAACCTGGAGGAGAGGAAAAGCAGTAATACTAATATAATATGTACTTGTCATTATAACATGACTTTTAAGTACCAGGCAATGGTACTTAGGTTTACCTCCAGCTAAAATTTAAATGTTTAACTTGTTCCATGTAATCTTGTAGTATCATTCCTTCCTCCTCCTGAAGAATATTTTAATGCTACATTAGTAACAGTTATAATAGGGATAACCTAACCATTCTATAAGTATTCTTCAAAATAAGTTACGTAAAATACATCTCTTGAGTTATATTGGAATCCTGCAGTTGAGAACCTCTGGTCTAATATACACCAGGAAAGAATAAACCTTTGCGTTTTTTTTTTGTGGGACCCTCGCCGACAGCCGGGGAACGAACCGGCGCCATGAGGGCAGCCTCACAGCCCAGCGTTTAATCGCTGCGCCACCAGGGGAGGCCCGTGCGTTTCTTGACTGTAAAATTAAAAGTGCATTAATTATAAATTGTATCCAAGTGAACAGAGTAAAATTTTAAACTGCCCAATACACTTTAACTTCATCTATAGTAAATTTCTCCAATGCTAGCTTTTTCCATTGTACCATTTAAGATTCACAAAGGCAGTCGCTCAAGGTCCATACTTCATTGCCTAATATGCTCCTTCTGTTACTTGTTCACTCCTTTAGGTACAATTACAGAAAATTAAAGGGAAGACTGAAGTTAGGGAACTACTTTTCCTAAAACAGAATAAAAGCTAACTCCTCAGAATTAAGCTCTCCCAGTAACAGTTTGAGACTGATTAAATAATTTGCTTTTCCAGGCTTCATTTTCCTCTTTTATTAAGCTAGATAGATTATAATAAATAAACTCTGATATTCTTTCTACCTCTAAAATTTAAGGGAAACATGACTTGATCCACAGCTCCGATATCAGATGCTCATCACTTAGCTATTGTCTACCCACCCCCCACCCCAGCAATTTGTGAAACAGCACTAGTAGCAATTGGAAATCTGTCACAATATTATTTTTCTATATGTATAGAAAAAATTTCAAAAAGGAAAATTCAAATTGTGTATACTTTATTGAAATGTTCAGTACTTTACTTTTAGTCTCTCTCACCACAAAGCTGTCTTCCTTGGTTGGGCTTTCCTCACTATTTCCCTCTTTAACCAGGTCCCGTTCCTATGGATACACTTGCCTACCATGCCTTCAAATGAGCTCCACTGGGAACCCACTTCCATATGGACAGAAATTACTACATAAATCATCTTCTACTCTGTGTAATCACTTACTAAGTATGGTTTGCCTGACTAGCCTTCAATAAAATTCAGAACAAAGTGGCATATGCAAAAGGAATATGCATGGACTCCAGTACAAGTATGTCAAAGAAATGAGGACTTTTGATAACTAATAGACTGTATTACATAAGCATACTGCATTACATAAGCACTATGACCTCGAAGGCCCACCATGACAGCCTGAGTTTGAGCCTCAGCTAGGGAGCTAAGCCATATGGTGCAGCAGACCTCTCCTGTCTCACCCACTGCTTCCTTTAGCAGTATATTTCAGTAGATCCTCCTGATCTGCTCTCCACTGTCTCTGGTAAATCCTCTCCCTGCCCTCCGCACCTCTGGCCTATACCTCAGTTCTATGCAAAATAAATAAATAAAAATCTTAAAAATACATATGCTTTATAAAGAAAACAAAATGTAAGCCTACTAGAGAAAAATGTAGCACTAAACCAGGCTTAGTTCACTAATAATATATATATGCTCAAGGATTTGATCACATGAGAATTATTTCTGATATGCAAGTACCCAACTTGAAGGCATTTGGGGTGGGCCAGAAGAATGATTCAAAAGGTAACCTAAAGCGGTTGCATCTAAAACGTCTCTCAGTTTTACTTTACCTGAGCCTTAAGGATTTCTTTTGGTCTAAAATTTTCACCTACTATCTTTCAATCATTATTTTATTTTTATTTTTTATTTATTTTTATTTATTCAAGAACCGGGGTCCAGGCCAGTTGCGCGGGAGGGTGAGAGGAGTCACCAGAGACAGAGCAGGGAACAGAACAGGCAGACTGACGAAATATACTACTGAGGGGAGCAGCGGGCGAGGCAGGAGAGGTCTGCTGGCCATGTGGGTTGCTCCGAGGCCGGTGGAGATCGAACCGGCACTGCAGAGGCTGTGGACAGCTTCACAGTGCTGCGCTCAATGCCTGCGCCACCAGGGAGGCCCCTCAATCATTATTTTAAAACCATGCTTTTTAATTTTTTTAATATTTATATATGTGTGTATATATGTGTGTGTGCACATATATATGTGAATATATATGTACACACACATATTTTACATCATTGTTCATTTTTGTACAATGTTTGATTTCTCCTTTCAGGTGTAGTCCCCGTAAAATTCCCACCACTAAGTCACCTGTGCACCATTACTAGTCACTTGTGCTCTTCCCTTCCCCTCCTCCTCCCCTGCTGAATGTCTCTGATTTATAGTTGTCTGCTAGTTTTGTCTTTTTTCCTTGATCCCTTATTTAAAACAATGTTTTTGATGGGATTTGTGCATTCCACAAAATTGAAATCATGGCAGGTCCAGAAACTGATATCCTATTCCACTTCACTGGTATCAAAAGTATTTCAACTCTTATACATGCTTGCATGGTAGAATGAATTTCTACCTATAAAGAAGAATTACTTTGCTGGTCTTATACTTTAAGACTCTAGCTGTGAAAGCAACATAAAGAGGTTCTAAACTATAGCCCATCTGTTCAGTACCCATGCCTGGAGAAGCTAATTTCAAGTCATATGATAATTTATACAGTAAGTTATAAACCTGAAAAAACAAGTAAACAAATAAATAAAACAATGCTTTTTGCCTTCAAGGACTATATAAAGTCGACAGTTCTCCTGATTGTAGTTTTTTGGTGCTTTTCTGTCTAGAAGAAAGGTTGACTCTAAATTAACTTCATATTCTCATTTCTCAAACATCATTTCATTTGGAAACCTGAAATAACCCTTAGTTTAATCATCATTAAAAACAAACTAAAAATTATTAAGTTTCTTTCATGGTATTTTTTGTGTTTTAAATCTTCCTCCAGAACTCCTGACAAAAGGATGTAAGGGGAAGCATTGCATTTAAACATATATACCAAAAGTTTATTACATTAAAGAAATACTACTCTAAATTAATCTCTATGGCACCAGTAACTGTTTTGCATTTGTTAAGCATTGTTTCATGCTCATAAAATTTTTCTTGTTCAATGTTGATTTCTCTCCCTCCTGCCAACTGCTTCTTATCGTGGGAATAAACAATGTGAAGTTAGAAAAATTTCAGATTGAAGGGAGTATGCTTTAATAAGGGGATTTCATTGAAATTTTTAAATTTTTACTAATAGTACACATTTAAGATTTAGAATTTCTAAAATTAGGCTTCAAAATAACTTTGCAGATCATCTATGAAGAAGTATTATCACTACAGAGTACAATTATTCATGCCTTGCTACAGAAGGAAAAGTTAGGGACTAAAATAAATTGGGGTGACCATGAACAACCTGGATGTTTCACAGAATTCCATTTCTTAACCAAGACAATATTTAAGGGAACTCATGGTACTTAATGGCATGAACATTCTGCCGCAGGTTAATTACCTGATGCAAAAATACATAACAATCCTTTATATGATGTTCACTTTGTTGGATCCATTTAGGATATAGACAGAGAAAATCCAAACACAACGATTTCCAAAGCAAAAAGATCTCCAATTTAGTATGTAAGGCTTTAGTATGTACTCCTTTTAACAAGGAGTAACAAATAATAACAATAGCAGAAGCAGCCAGCATTTATATATAAAACATTTAATATAATAAGCACTTTAACTCAATTAAACCTCTAATAACTCTAAGTAGTAGGTACTATTATGACACCATTAAACAAATAAGCTAAGGCAGAGATTATAGAACTTGCTCAAGGCCACCCACTTAGGAAGCAGCAGAGGTGAGATTTAAAATAGATCTGGAATCCATGGTGTTAATCATTATACTACAAACTTCTAGGTAGATAAGTTGTAAACGGAAGCAATTGAATAGATTATAGATGACATGGGCATTGGGGGAAGTGACCATAAATATCTAGTTCCTTCGATAGAGCTACCTCAAGACACTAAGTGAACTATCAAACAACCTCGGAATAAATGAGGACATAGACCACATTCTCTACTTCAATATTGGATTGTTTTCATTGAAGTCCGCAACCTTGAGATTTTCTCAAGTCATAAAAATTACCTGACCACTAATAAAATAATATAAAAGCAGAAAGTATCTACAGTTAATGTTCTAAATTCAACAGATATAAATATCAAAATGATTCCTTTTTCATAATTGAGAAATGAACTTTAGGTGTTAGGTAATACTTTCTTTTCTTTTAAGATTTTATTTATTTATCCAAGAGCTGGAGTACAGGTCAGAGGTGTGGGAGGGTAAGAGGATTCACCAGAGACAGACTGGGTAACAGATCAGACAGACTGACTGAAATACACTGCTGGGGGGAGCAAGGGGTGAGACAGGAGAGGTCTGCTGTGCCATGTGGGTATCTTCCTGGCCATCCGGGAATTGAACCGGCACTGCAGAGGCTGCGGACAGCTTCACAGCACTATGCTCAACCTGCTGCACCGCCACGGAGGCCCAGTAATATTTTCTTTATAAGACCATGAATCCAAATAATCTTGTGCTATACCCTAAGAAAGGAAAACTTTAGTTCCCAAATTTATGAAAAGATATAATTCTGTAAAAATATTTAACTACATCATTACTTCCTTCTGCTTTTGGAAACTAAAAAGAAATAAAGCAAAAGAAGCCAAAGTCCTAGGAAAGGACAATTAATCTATGGCTTTTCTTCTCTCCCTCCTGACAACTGCTTCTATTCTCCTTCCTGATGAGTAAGGAAAGAAAGAAGCTATAACAGATATGAAGGGTTTTCATTCTTATATCAGCTATCTGGAGTACCTAGGGTTGATTCTTTTGAAGCACTTCCTCTTGTCCCTCTATTTCACTTTCTCCTTCATTTCTTTGTACCTAAACTTTCCTTAAATTAAAGGCTGCCCACGAGGGGGGCAAAAAACAACTGCTATCATTTCTTATAACCATGTCTTCAGACTTGTGCACATGATGACATGTTTTCTTTAATTTCTTTGGTTTGTAGCTGTATCCAGTTTAATTATATATCAAATGATTTCTTATTTTACCTGCAAAGAAAGCCACAAAAGAAGTACAAAAGAAAGACTCAAAAGATACACTTACAGACTCATAAAGTTGTTTACAGGTTTGGCTGGCATCAATTTTCCCTGCAAAGGAAGCTGTTGGAACCGTTGTGTTTAATTCATGTACTATTCTGTCATCAATCGTCCTCATCACCTTGAGTAATTCCTATATATATTTAAAATAAAAAATAATAACCTGAATGGAAAAGTTAAGTGATAAAAAAGAAGCATTTGAACAAAAAGTAAAGCTTTGGATATATTACAACTCTTTAAGTCAGGAGTGGGGAAACCATGCCAATACAGTGCTGCCATAGGAAAACCTTTATTTTTATTTTTATCATGACAGGTGGAATATGAAACAGTAATTTTAACAGTGGGCACCAACTCTATTTTCTTGGGTCCAGTGTAAGGCCATGAGAAGTGACATCACTGGAGCCATATTAAAATAGGACTGGGGAAAGCCACCTACTTTAAATGGGATCTGACTCTTGGACTGGGCCAAACTACCAACGCTCCAAGAAGCCAACAAGAACAAGAATATTGCATTTGAAAGGACTGATCAACAGAACTTTTACCAACTTTTACTTTGTGACCCCTCCATCTGACCATTTTCACCTTGTGACTTCTGCATCTGATCATTACCTCATCCTTCTTTTTCCCGGAAACTTGGATCCCTCCCTCTGCCTAAATCTGTGTACCCTGAACTGCAATTCTCTGCTATTTCCAAATAAACATGCCAGCTTCCCCACTAACTTTACTTAGAAGGTTAACAAAGGTAAAAATTGTTTTATTCATTTAAAAACCCCACTTGTCAAACATTGCAGGCTCTTTCCATCTGCAGTATATAGTCAACAAAGGGTGCCACTGAACTTGATTGTCACATATTCTCCAAAAATAATCAGTGTAATTGCTTGCTTTACCCCTCTTTCTCTATCTTTAAAAGGTGATGCTAGGTAGAAAACTTTTGGAAACATATATACAAGAAACTACCAGTCGTGGTTAACTTGCAGAAATTAATCTGTACCCTTTTAGGTCTTCAGTTTATATTTGGTTTATGTATTAATTTCATAACAAAAATAAGTTAAGACAAAACATACTGCTAGAGAAAAAATGAAAATCTCTTCCCAGTTGTCTTGCTCACAGAACAAGTGGGAATTAGTTTTACCTTTTCTTAGTAATCCTACCTCACATTTCCCAAGGATTTCCCCATTTGAAAAACGGGGAAAGTAACCAAAGGGGCAGAGATTTAGAAAGATTGGTGAGCAGACCTATAAGGCACAGTCCCTTTCCCCCACATTTGGACTAGGGTACTTTTTTTTTTACTTATGACAAAAAAAAAGGCTAGGTATCACTAGATTCTGTCTCCAGAGAGCATAAACTTCAGAAAATGTTAAAGTTTACACGCTCCTGTGAAAAAAACAACTAACTCTCCCAAATCCATGATTACTGAAAAATCATCAGGAAAATAGAAACATTTAATACTAGAAATACACTTATTACTGAAAACATCTAAGACACTGACACTGAATATTGTGTTAAACACAACTTTGCTTGATCTCTATCAACAGAACGCTTTCCTTTGTCAAACTTAAAATTCCACGACTTAGAGCACCTCTTTCATTTTTCTTTATCCATTTGTTAAAATAAAAACATTTATTGTGACTAAAGTATTATACATTCATTTTTTAAAATTAGAAAAAAATTTAAAGAACTCATCCAGTTAGCCATTATCAGTAATTGAACATGCCCCTTTAATTTTTTTCTATTTATCTCTGAATACCTTTGTAAAATGGAGGTACTATGTAACATTTTAAAGTCCTGCTTTATGTCATTATACAATGAGTGTTTTGCTATTGTTACTAAATATGCCTGAAGACATTTATAATAGCTACATATATTTTCTACCCCCTGGAGGTATCACAGCTTATTTTACCACTCATTAATGAACATCTAGATTGTTTCCAATTATAATAACCAACTAGGCCATTCAGTCTAAGTTTACAGTTTAGATTTTGTTCCTATCAGCCCGATTTTTTTAATTAGCAATTTACTGGCCTTTTCTAATCTCAATTCAGAAGTAAAATACCTTATAGGAGGTGCATAATTTAGATAAATGAAACACAGGCAAACATCAGGTCTAAAACCAGTTCAACTCACTGACTCATCTCTTCTTGTACCTTCCTTTGTCAGTAGTATCATCACTGATAGTTTCATCATTGACGAAACATTATGTAGCTTGACATGCCCTAGAGTTCTTTACTCTGAACTTTAACCAGTTTTTAAATTTGATCATTAGCTATGTAGCCATAGACCCCTCCAATAAAACAATTTGAACATACTATCAAGTTCTTTATACAGCAATGGGAATTTATCTGCATTAAGTCAGTAACAGAGCAATCAGCTACAGCCTATCAATGGTATCTACAAATGTAAATCATCAAATACATAAATTCTAAAGAATCATTAACATATGATCTAGAACTTGGTTTTTAATATGATAAACTACCCATAAGATTATTTGAAATAAATTTTAAATTTAGTTCCTTAGTTGAGAGCCACATTTCAAGTACTGAAGAGACACATGTTGCCAGTGGCTACCACATTGGCCAGCAGGTATTTCTCCTATCACAGAAGTTCTTTTGGATAGTATTGAATTTGAGAAAATTGAACACTCTTTAAACTGACTATGTATAGGAATTGCTGAGAACTATAAACTATAGTCTTAAATGTTCGCAGAAAAGCTAAAGATAACAGGAAAATTTTCAAAATTGCAAAGGGAGAAGGAAAAGAACTATAAACTACCTCAGTAGGCACACTATTCTTTACATTAGACTCCAAAGTCTAAAGGAAAGCTTGGATGACCCTCACAGATAGGGAGCAAATTAAGGTTCGTGCAGGTACAAAAGTGTTGTCATTAAATCATTTGTATCATTCCTAGGGAATGACACAAAATAATAGTCTGTACCTAATTATCATACAACTCAAAATCAATTACTGACTGAATATCTGATGTCTAGCTCCAATAGCATATTCTCTCTCACACAAATTCATCAAGAAGGTAAAAGGAAGATGCCCCTAAGCAGACATCATACACAAAAAGGCATACAAGTTCAGAGGTAATAGAGATAGGTTAAGGTAAAATGAAGTCATAAGGGTGAAGCTCTAATCCCATAGAACAGGTGTCTATGGGAAAGACACGGGAGCTCGCTCTCCCTCTGTGTATAAAGACCATGTGAGTACAGAACAATAGTGGCAATCTGCAAAGCAGTAGAGAGACCAAATCAGAACCTAAACCAACAGGACCCTGATCTTGGACTTCAAGCCTGCAAAAAAACAGAGCTGCAAAAAAACCAATTTTGATTGTTTAAGCTTACATCCAGTCTGTGCTATTTGTTATGGCAGCCCAAACAGACTAATACAATATCCATAAATTTTTGCTGTTAAATGTTACAATGGGATTCCCGACCCTCAATTTTAAACTTTTTTTCTGAATTTTATCTCATTTTGAAAACAGGATATTTTCCAGGAGTGCTAAGTCAACTTTTATAATGGGAAAGTAAAAATTGCAAAATTAAAAATTTTTAAAACTCTTAAACTACAAAGCACGCATAATATAGAACAAAGTCAGAATAGTAGTTACAAGAGGGGAGTAGGAGAAAGGATACAGACAGGAATTGAAAGGGGTATGAGGAAAATTTTGGAAGTGATGGTATCATTCTTTATGTTAATGAAGGTTTGCACTACATATGTATATAAAAGTCAAAACTCAGTTGGATGAGGAGCTTTAGATTTGTGCTTTTCACTGTATGCAGATTTTACAGAGAAAGTAAAATACTGAACTCTAGTTAATCATAAGTATGGTAAAATGCTTAAGGGTAGAGTAGGGATGCTTATAACTTATTTTGAAACATAAAAAAAATAAAAGGTGAATCGATGGGTAAACTGAAAAACAGATATGTGATAAAGTAAATACAGCAAATAACTATAGAATCTAGCTGATAAATACATGAGTTCAATTGGATGAGGGATATTTTCCAGGAGTGCTAAGTCCTGGAAGTGCAAGTGTACAATTTTTTTCAACTTTCCTGTAGTGTTTCAATATTTTCATAACATTCTGGGGTGGGGGAATGCACCTAATCTTTATAAAGGAAGTACATGATCCTGTTTCTCTTCCACAGTACTCATTGTAGTGTTTTCACAATTAGATTATGTACCCACACAAAATGTAATGGTTTCATAGGTTTAAAAACCAATAATTTCTGAGTATGCCAGTTAACTACATTTTATAATTTTACCAAGCTCATCTAAACCTACATGTCATACATTTTTACAGTACTTCACTTACATTGTTCTATACCTCTGAGTCAAAAGAAGCAAATGTTCTTGTACTCATTTATGATGTTAAACGACCTGCCAAGCCAGTTCTTGAAAACCGATCTGATTTTTAAGCTGGGGTGTTCTCCATTATAAATTACATATTTGGAAAAGTGCTAGAGGAACTACATAAAAACTTCTCAAAGGTTTCACTAACTAGACTAATTTTATTATCTGTGTCCTTATATTCTCTCTGTGAACAGAATGGTTTTGCAAGACAGTTTAGCTTTTACTCTACTTATAACATCTTATCTGACATTCCAAAAGGAAAATCATTGTTCTTTAAGCACTGCCAAATGCTTAAGCAGCTATGAGAGCTTTTGAAATCTGGTTTTAGAGATTCAATAATTACAGTGATTAGCTCAAGGGCTTTTCTCCATAAATTTTAAGGTTATCATTACTGAATTATCTGAGTTCGTCAACTCAAGTAAAATCATAGTAACAAGACCAAGGCAATAAATGCACCAGTTAACTTCATAATTTGTTTTAGAATTGAACAGTCTTTTTGTTATCCTACTTAGGATTTTTGTAAGTGTTTGTATTTGTTGGGCACTCTGATCACACATCTGAAGTCGGTTGCTGTTGTACTGATGTAAACTAAGAAAGAAGCTTTAGCGAAAAGGGTGCAAATGATGGTAGGAAGCTAAACTTCTTTTGGCTAAATGATGTTTGTGAAATAACTAGTCTGTGAAGATTCCCTACAAAACAATGGTCAAAACACAAAGCTTCCTACAGACAGGTCAATAACACCTTAAATGACTTTTCAATATCTTTAGTTAAAAACACATTTGTACGGCCATGATCTTTTAATTCATTTTTAAATTCTTATTATCGACAGCTGCACACTCACGCCTACATTGGAACAGACAGCTTTCACAACAACTTGGTAAAAATCCAGACCCCTGTTCTTCATTTTATGGATTAATAATTAGCCCTAGAAGTCTGGTGTTTGAATATATACAAGAAACAGCCTTTTTCTTAAGTGTTACCTTTTCTTTAATGGTTAGAAAGGCAGTACACTGCCAATAGGTACTAGACTGAAATGCCCCTCCAAGGCTCCAAATCTTCTTCCCATCAAAATAGTAAAACTTACACCGAGTTTTTTGTTTTGTCGTCAGGTAGATCGATCTCCTTCACTTTCTTCTCGCCTATAAATGCTAACTTTAAAGTTGGAGGGGTATGACAGAGGCTAGAGATTGAATTCAAGACTGTTACAATCCCTACCTACCGGACCCGAGCTCGGTTTCACCACCGCAGAACCACCCGGGGTTTCCCGATGTGGTTACTCAAGGCCTGGGAGGCTCTGGAAGAACCATGACCCCCACTCGGGAGCCTCACTCCTTAACGCCAAGCCCGCGCCCCCCATGACCTCCAATGGCTCGAAAAATAAGCCTTGAATTGCCCGCTTCTTCCACAACTGGTCCACACTCTCCCCCCAGGCCAGAGCAGAGAACAGGATTCGGGGACAAAGTAAGGATAAGTCTGCAATATGAGGAAAATCCCATCACCTGGAACTCGGCGAACTCCTCACAGTTCACACCGCCACTGGGCGCCGCCATATTGGACGAACGCTAGGCCCCCACCGCGAGCCAATCCCCGCGAGGCAAAGGTGTCTGCCGCGCAGCCTGACCAAATAATATGCCGAGGGGAGTCAGCGAGAAAGCAGAGCCGAGTTTTCTTTCCCAGATCTTCCCCCCCACCGCCCCATTTGTATAGATGTCTGTCTGTCGAATCCTGTAACCCTGGTCATTTTCACTCCTGCTCTTTCAATGTGTTCTCCTAAAACTGGCCCAGATGCTTGGATCGAATAATGCCAGAACTTGAAGGGATAGTTTTACTCCAGTCCCCTTTTCTTACAAAAAAGGAGAAACAATTTCCATATCACACCAACCAGGTGGCTCGACAAGGACCTTTCTAGAGAAGAGATTTTCTTGAAGCCTCCTATTCCGTTCCCTGCCTCCAGTCCCTAGAGCAGAGGCGCCTTTGTTCGTTACGAATTTGGGACCAAAAGAGATGTCAAGGGAAAAAAAGAACATTTCTGGCCGTGTTGGTGGCTAAGTGGCTAACTAAGTGTTGAGTAGGGTGCTTAGTGGTGAAAATGTTTAATTTTATTAAAATAGCTAAGTGGAAAGCATAGTGGGGAGAATACATACTAATTTCTCCGAGGAGCCTGAGGTCCTCCCAAGTCATTAAGTGATGCACCCTAGGAGCCCATTTATGTGTGTTTCTGTAAAGGCACACGTGCAATTTCTCAATATCACAGGCAGAGCCGTGCAGTGAAATACTCCTTTATCTAGGCTGGGTGATCTCCGGACTCTGCAGTTCACAAAAGTTCTACTTAGACGAGTGGTTTGCTAGGAACCGCGAATTCTACTGTCAAGGCCCGCGTTAAGCAGACGCCACAGAGCAAGCCGAGGCGCGCGCGGGGGGACAGCCCCCGGGCCGAGCCCCAGCCGGCGCGCCAGGTGAGGGCCATCCGCCCTCACCTTCTGCGCGTCACGCACGTCCCACACGACCCGTGCGTCTGCCACGTCCCGCCCACACGCAGGCGCGTCCCGCACGACCCGCTAGCTCCGCCCACACGTCCTACAAGACCCGCCTGCCGCTGCCCTCACGTTTCTCACCGCGGCGCTCGGTGACTTTGAGCTCCTCCGCGTCACCGCCGACGCCAGGGAGCCGTCTGGGCCGACGAAGTAGGCGGCAATGGGGACCCTCCGCCTGCTGGCGGGTGAGACGCGGGTCGTGCCGGGGGAGGGCGGAGAAGTATCTCGGATGCTGGGGTGCCGGGATCCTGCGCTTCCCCTGGCCCCGGGTGAATCGCTTGGCTCACCCAACGCTTCACTCTGGTGCTCAGGATTCTACCCCTTGGTGGTAGTAACCGGAGAGAGCAAGAAGTGAGCGAGCAGCTGACTAGCAGACTCGGGCCAGCTGGGAAGGACCATCGCACCTGGCTCACATCCAACTTAAGGTTCCCTACTCTCCCCCCCCCCCCTTCCACAGCTCTGCCCAGCTCGGTTCTTAATACTCTTAGCATCCTCAGAGCTCCCCGTTGCCTGGGTGATGCAGCTTCCCCCTTTTACCTTTGTCATCTGTTATGCTACTACTAGCCCTGAGACACCCTTCTTTCTTCCCCTTCCTCGCCTCATCTCGAGAGTTTATTCCTACTCTCAAGAGAAAATGTAGGGTTTCTTACCAATCCAGTGTTCTACTAGGTAAGGGGTTTAAGGTTTCACCTCAATAGCAGTTGTGTTCTGAAAATAGGGCCTGCATGTAAACAATTCTATAGTTCAGTGTTTTGAGATTCTTGGAGCAAAGTGTTATGTTACCCAGTTGGTTTTCCTAGTAGACATTTGTGTAATGGGTATTTGGAGTCAACTTACTGGGCCTTCTTTGGTTTTTCTTGGCTCTTTTTTAGTCACCCAGGCAGATCTTCCTTTTTGGTCACCTTTATGGGCCTGAATAGGTGTAATTGAACTTATGTTCTGTGGTATCACATTAAAAGTTAATTCAGATTTTAAACTTGGCTAATGAAATAACGTACAATGCATTGTAAACGAAGTAATTTTTCTTTCAAGCTACCCTTTACCTGATTTATGTTGTGTTCCCTTGAACAATACACTGGAAAACATCCTATAAACTGGAGAATATTATTTATATCCTTTAAAACAAATACCTCCCCCCACTAAAAGAGATTAGCTTCATTGACACTGTTCATCTTTGTTGAGCTAATTTGCCTAAATTTTTTGGTATACATTCCATTAACTGTTAAACAGCTTTTCAATAGGGCAAGTGAGTGAATGATTTGTGCCACAAAAAAACTGAGTGAAGGGGACTTGACTACATAGGAATTAAGATTGAGTGTGTGCAAGTATTTCATCTCGCCTTAAGAAAGATTACAAAGCCCCTTTGCAGACTTTTGGTGTTTAAGAACTTCACTGTTGGGCATGCAATCACGTTTAAATTCTTTAGCAACTTAAGAACAGGTTCCTTTATTAATAGATAAACTAAGGACTTATATGAGCAACAGTTTCCACATGATCTCTAAATATTTGATCTCTGAATAGTTTGGGTGAGTCAATTTCAAATGATCTGCTCTCTTTAACCTACTTCTGACCATTTTATTGCTAATCACAAACACTATTTTACTTGATTGACCTTTCATAGCAGCCCTCTCAGGTAAGCCTTATCTTCTCTCTATTTTACAAATGACTCATAGGTCAGAGTGTTAAATCACTTGTCCAGGATCACTTTGTCAGAAAATATTACAGTGCCCTCTAATTCTGGAACTTGTTCTCTTGACTTTGTTCAAACTTATTCAGGATACATGTATATATGTATTTTTTGTGGCTAGTTGGAATTCTTTGATGTGAGATGGAAGAGTCATGAAATGCTGATTTACTTGTGAAATAGAAGACACATTCATACAAATAAATCTCAATTTAACAAACAACTATAACCAAAGGAATGGTTGATCAACTAGAAATGTACCTCTCTCATCCAGAATGTTGTTTGGAATAAGATAATCTGGGTGAGTGAAGTTTCAAATAACCAAGCTTAATTCTTTAAGTGACAAAAATTTATTTTTAATTGTTTCTGTTGGAAATCTTTGCTATATATTTCCTTAGCAAACAGAATGTACTTTTATGAACTTGAGCCTTACTGTTTTGAACATGTAGGTCAGAGCTATTAATTTGAAGTTCTTGGATCCAGTCACAGATGAGAGGTTCTGTGAGTGAAATTACATTCAAATAATTAAGGATTATATACCTCTTTTGAGAATGATACCGTATCTTGCCTCCATTACTCAGAGCAGTGTGTGTTCTTTAAGTTAAAAAGCACTGATACAGGTGATTTGGAACTATTGCTCTATACTGCTGTGGGTTCCATGAGAGTAAAGACTGGGTCTGTTTTGTTTTTACTAAACCCCCAACAGATGAATACTATGTCCATCCCATAGTATACAGGCAACAAATGAGGGACACCAAGAAATATCTTGAAGCATGCTGCAGATATAAATAAAGTGAGTTTTCTAAAAGTAGAATAGAATAGATACTATTTTCAGAACATTATCTTTCTATAGAATAATTATTAGTTCAAGGAATGGAACAGCCTTACTAGGATGATTCTTTACACCTTCAAGAAGTTTTATTGCCCTCAACTCCTTTGACTTAACCACCAGACTTTAAAATGAAGTATTGTCCCAACAATGCAGTGGACAGTAAGCAATATCTTTGTCAGTTTAACCCATATACCAGAGCATTAGAATCCAGATATAATTTGAGAAGTCATGTTATCTGTTCCCTTAGTTTTACAAATGAGGAAACCTAGGCCCAAGAAGAAACTAACTTGCCAAGGGTCACAAAGGTATAAGTCTAAACATAATCACCATTTGTTGACTCCCTTTCTAATTTCCATTACATTCTGCTTCATGTTCTTAACTAACCAATTCTGAATGCCCATTTTTACTGCTTTAGTCTTTGGCTTTGCTTATCAATATCTCCAGATACGCATGTTTTTATTAAGTACACAGTGCCCTGTACATTGTAAAATATCTAAAATGAGCTTGCCATGAGCTTCCTAAGGCTAGAGTGCATTGCAGTGACCATACCTATATAATATACCTAAAGAGCTTATACCAAGACAGTATATATTACTAAATTCCAGATTATAGAACAGATTTTCAGTGCTACTCTAGTGCCTGGTAGCCAGACCCTACTGTCTTTGTGCGCATCTCTTCCCAATCTCATAGTCAGTGATATTACAGAGTTAGCTGGAAATTGGTCATGGTGAGGGTTATTGGCTTTTCCTCTGCCAACCACCTCCCAAGAGCCAGCATACCTCTGGCTTTAAGAATTCAGAGAAAGGAAAAGTAATGGGGGTTAGAGTTATCTACTGAAGGCTCCACTGAAAAGGATGGAATGGGCAAGTGAAATGAACAAAGGGAGGGGAAATTATGAGCCTGGGAGAGTATCCAGGGAGAAAAGAAAAGGATTACCTTAAATTTTGTCCAGGAGGTATAGGAGATAAGTTATGGCCTTTTGAGGATTTTGAACCATATGAAGGACAAAAAAGAAGCCTTCAAGCAGATATTATTAAAGAGATATTTTTGAAAGATTAACATTGCCACTGTATATAACACAAATAGCTCCTTGTGAAGATATTACAGTAATCCATGTGTGAGATGATGATGGAAATAACAAAGGAATACATACATAGGAAGTGTTTTGAAGAAATTACTAGTATGACTTTCAGGCAGTAATTTAAGGAAGGACTTTAAAGACTGATTTTTTATTTATTTATTTTTTTTTTTTGTAAAGGAGTATTGCCCCACTGTCAGAAGTAAGAAAGTTGGGGATATGCTGGTTTGGCAGAAAGGAGGGTGCAAATTGAGTTATAGGTGAGAATGGAATCTCTCAGTGAAAGGCCTGAGGACGAAAGTAAAATTAGGAAATATATGGGAACCATCAGTGTGGAGCTAATTATTAAACCAGAATGGAGGAGTCCTCTCTGAGAGTCATATAAAACTACTGCTAAACTTGGTAAAACTAAACTTGGAAGGCTAACATAGTGTGAGAACTAGAAAGTAGCAAAGAGGACATTAAAAAAGGTAGATCATAGAGGTCAGAGGTGAAGGGAGAGAGTGTAGAGCTATAATGAAAGGAGGGTCTGTGTCTTTGTAGAAGGATGAGACTCAATTTAGTCAAATGAACGAATGATGAGAATTTTAAAAATATATTCATAAGATTAGAGGTCACTCAAGTTGTTAGAGCAATTTTTATAAAATGAGTGGGGGAAGAAACATTGTAGTAAAACTCATGGGTGGGGAGGTGAAGGTAGCAGATACATACCTCTTACTCAGTCATCTGATCTAAGACCGAAAAAGAGATTAGTATTTTATTTATAGGAGCTGTTAAGAACAAGTGAATATTTTGTTCATGATAATAAATCCTCGACCCCAGCGTGATATAACGAGACTGGTAGATATGTAAATCAATTCAGCCTTTTAGAAAGCAGTTTGTTATATATGTTAAGAATCTAAAAGTGTTCAGAACCTTTAACCCTCATATCTTTTATTCCTTCACTACCAGGATTTTGTATTAGAAAATAATCAGAAATGTATAAAAATTTATGTTCTTTGAAACATTACTTATAATTTTGAAAAATGGGAAACAAATCCAGCCATAAGGAATGATTAAGTTCAGGTTATATTCATTCGTTGAATTTTATACACTTATCAAAAGTGTTTTTTAGTTAATGTTAGAAATGTGTTTATGAAATCAGCAAGATCTAGTATTATTTAATTATGAAAAGTATATATCTTGTATATAAGCATAAGACAAGTCTGAGAAGAAAAACCCTAAGTTGTTATACCGGATGGTATGATTATGGGTGCTGTTATTTTTCTTCATATGTTTATATAACTTCCAAATTACCTATAGTGAGCAAATATCACTTAAAAGAGAGGAAACAAACTTTGGGCAGGGAAAGGGGGGTAGAAAGTAGAATCTAGTGGTTTTGAGATAAGTCGGTGAGAGGGTAACAGATGGAAGGGTTCACTAATTCAGAGCGAAGGAAGGACTGGGTTATTTGGAGCCTGCAGAAAAGGATGAGAAAGCAGATGGAGAGATAGGGAATCTGTCTCTATCACTAAGCAGGTTAATGTCAACAGCTAAGCTGAGAGAGTTTCAAACAACCACTGGTAAGGGTGGGCTGGATGTTAATAGGAAA